GTAAGAAATTGTGTTCTCTAAAACAATGAAGTCATAAGTAAAGCACTTTGAAGAAAAAGCTGAACTTTGGGCCTTCGAGCCCACTCACCATGGCTTTGATGCTCCTCACTGAACATCCATCTTGTCATGATTCTGAACTTTGGTATTGTGCTGCTACTTGTAGCAGCTCTCGCAAGTGAGCCTGTAAGGTTCCCTTGAATGCTTCTCATTGGGAATCTTGTAGTTGTTGTGGTTGTCCTGTCATGTATCAACATGTTCCTTCTTTGGTGTCGTTGTCCACCCTAGAATAATGTACTTGTAAGTAAAAAGCTGCAAAACAAAAGTAAAAACCTGAGCCATCAGGCTCCATATCCATGCTTGTCAGATGTCATATCCTCAATGATCACCATGGTAGTTCGAGTCATAGTCTTTGCTCTTGTCTTGTCATACTTCATTCATAGTTAGCTGTAGATTCTTGAATCGCAGTTGCCAGTACATCGGTCATGCTTCGCTGCACACTCTTACTTTCCCTAGGATAGTGCAGATGTAAGTAAAATGTTTCGAATTCAAACTGAACCTTCGAGCTGTTGGGCTTGGCATCTGTGCTCCTTGTGCCTTGTTCTTGTCAAATGGCAAATCATGCCTCACATGGCTGTCAATCCACATTGAGTGCCATCATCATTGTCTCTTGTATTGTGATTGCTGTTCATTGTAAATAGCTACCTTCCCTAGAATGAAGCCAGTGTGAGTACAATGTCTCAAAGTAAAAATGAAAAGTTGAGCCATTGAGCTCATTCTGCATGATCCTGATGTCTCCCTTGTGTCGCACTTGCTCTTGTATCCTCGACAGTCGTTGTTGTAGATTGAACCGTAGTCATCGCACTTGTTTTGTGGTATGTCTGAGTGCCTTACATTCATAGTCCTTCGTAGGTCCATGCACTGTGATCATGCTGTGTCATAGGTATCTCTTGCTCTTCCTAGAGTAGGATAGTTGTAAGTAAAATGCTATGAATTCAAAATGAAACCTTGGGCTGTTGAGCCCAGTACCTGTGCTCATCACGCCTCATCTCCACCAAACAGCAAGTCTTGCCTTGTGTGGCCATTGATCAGCATCAAGTGCCATTGTCAATATCACTCATGCTCTTCATTGTGTACATCCATTTTTCCTAGAGTAGGATGGCTGTAAGTAGACTGCTATGAAATCAAAACAAAGCCTTAAGCCATAATGCTCAAAATCTGCACTTGTCATGCTCTGTTTCCATCGAATGGCAATTCTAGTGATGCATGGCCATCACTCCATGTCAAGTGTTGTCATTGTTGTCTCTTGTATCATGCTTGTCTGTATGTCACTCACTCTTTGCAGCATAACCCAGTTCTCCCTAGCATAGAATAGATGTAAGTAAAATGTTCCAAATTCAAAACAAACCTTTGAGCCATTGGGCTCATTATCTGCACTCTTTGCACCTCATCTCCATCAAATGGCTGTTCTAGCCTTGCATGGCCACTGATCCACATCAAGCCTTACCATTGTCACTGTTCCTGTACCATGATCACCTGGATGCCGGTCACTCTTCATTGTATATAGTCATTTTCCCTAGTGTAGAATAGATGTAAGTAAAATGGTCCAAAACTGAAACAAACCTTTGAGCCCTCACATCAGTAAATCACTTTTGCTGGCCAGAGCTGGCCAGAGCTGTCCAGCACTGGACAGATTCCCTAGGACTACCAGCTCATAAAGTGATTTACTGATGCAGGCTCAGTATCCATGCTTGTCATGCCCTGTTTCCACAGCATGGCACTTCCTATCTTGTATGGCTGTTTATCTGCAGTAGGTAAGGTCATCATCATTGTTGCTGCCATTATCACTCATGTCCTTGTCATTGTCACCATTGCTCACAACTGTGGTATCCTGCACATGGTATGTCGTTTTCCCCATTCTTCATATCCTTCAATCACTGTGATCTTGTGTAGTTGGCCTGTAATACTAGATGCATCAGTATGTAGTACTTGAGTGTGTGCAGCCATGATGTGCAGAGTGGTCACATGACTCTGCTTAGTCAACATCGCAGGACTTTCTGCACAAGTCCTAATACTGAGTGTGTGTGTTGATACTCTCAATGGATTCTCAAATAAAATATCTATTGTTGGTGCTGCATGGTTGCAGAATATTTCAGGTGCAAGGTTGTCCACCCTTGCTGCATGCTTCAACATTTCAACTCACAAAACTTCTTCTGGTGGCTTCCTTCATATTACAAGCCTCAATGGCTTCTCGATCCTGCTTCTTCTTGCAATAACCCTTGACTCAGCACAATTCATGTGCTGTGGCATCCTGTGTGAGCCTACAACCTCTTCGTCTGCCAACCTTTTCGCTTCTGGGCTGCCTGCGAGCATTTCGAGCTCTTTGACTTCGACTCTTGTGGGCTTTGGCTGTTCTTTGAGCCTTTCTGTTTCGAATTTGAGTGGAATCTTTGATACAAATAGGTCATTAGTTAACTGATGTGTATCTTCGCTGACTGCTGGAACTCTGAGGTCGCTTCTTTCATTGCCTTGACCTCTTAGACAGGACTCCTGTAGCAACACACCAGTAGCCATCAGAGAAACTCAATGTGAACAAATTAAAGAACCCCTTTGAGTGTTGTCATCTGCCTCAAATTCAACTGGGACCTTTGTTACAAGCAGTTCTTCCACTAGCACTGGTTCAACCTGCTCAAGCTTTGGTGCTTCCTGTAACTCAGTAGTCAGTAGTTCACTTGTACTCAAAGAACACTCTTTCATTTCGAAACAGGCTGCTGCTGCTGCTTTGATGAGCCTGCCAGGACTTTGGTGTTCATTATTTGCCTTCTCAGATGGGCTGTGTGGCTGCATGCATCTTGTCAAAGCTACTTTTGGGACTTTCTCACATTCTATGTATCCTGATAAATCTGTAGATCCCTGCACACCAGTTGTCAGTGAGTCATGTGTAGGCATAGTTGGAAAACACTTTTTAGGTAGTCTCTGCTCATCTGAACTCAATTCTGGGTTGCTTTGTGGTTGAACATAACATTCTGTGCTTGTCTGAGGTTTCTCTGAGCAAATTCCTTTCTGTAGCAATTTCGTAGCCACAGCTGTTACTTGGCCTATGGGCCATGGGTCATCAGAATGTTGCTGTCGATTGTCACATCACATTTTCTGAATGATTTTGTGTTGGAATTCCTTGTCAAAGCTGTGTAAATAGAGATCTTCAACTTTGTCAGCCTTGAGTTGCCTGTGGTTATTGGCAGCAGTGATAGGTTTGGGGATGATTGGCTTGTAATTGAAAAATTTACTGTGGTAGGAGGACATATGACATGAAGTGCCTGAGTCAAGCAGAATGGTTTCCTCTGTGGAATTTAGGCTTTCACCTGTGAGAAGAACATGATTGAGGGTGTTCATGTATGCATCTTCTTCATCAATCACAATGTCCTGGGGGTTTGGAATTTCTTCCTCCACAATTTCTGTGAGCCAATCATCATCCTATGGGTGAACTAGCCAAACTCCATCAGGTTTGGAGTCAGTGCTGGTCTGTGTGCTTGAGCTGGCTGTTGCACTGGCTGCAGTAGCCACTTTTCTGGAGCCTTTCTCCTTCTTTTTCCCTTTGGCCTTGTTCTGGAACCACTTGGGTGCTTGCCCAGCTTTTCTGCCACCCTCTTGCCAGCATTGGTCTTTTGCATGATCTTTCTTTCCACAATTTTTGCAAGTAGACTTCTTTCTGTCCTTTGCTGAGTAAGCTGCATCTTCATCTTTGGAATTTCCAGAGTTTCTGGAGTTGCCCCTCTTCATCCAAGTTTGGTGCCTATCATATTCATTGGAAATTACTTTCATTATGAAGTCCAGAGATAGGTCCTTTTGCATGACCAGGGCTGAAGATGTCATAGCTGCAAGGTTGGAGTCATATGAAGTGGGAAGTGAACTGAGAATGATGGCTGTGAAGTTGTCATATGTGATAGACTGTCCAAGTGTGGCAAGTTGTTTGCACAGTGCATGCATCTTGTCAAAGTGAGCATGGATGTTTCCTTTTTCCACACAGCAAGATTCTTGGAGTTTTCTCCAAAGATTGATTGCAACAACATGGGAGCAGTTTTGAAAAGATTGGTGAGGACACCCCAAACACTCTTCACAGTCTCTTCCTTCAGAACTTGAAGGAACAGTGATTCTGGAAGTGACACAGCAATCACTTGCTTGACATATCCATCATCCTTTGCCCATTGCCAGAGTTTTTCTGGGTATTTGCTGACAAGTTTTTGCTCTGTGGCTGTGGGCTTCCAGCAGGGGTCTTTTCCCACTGAAGGGTCCTCCAGTTTCACATCCAAGCCAGTCAGGTGTCCAATCAGCCCTTTCAAACTGATGGCCCATTCAACCTGAGCCTTGTAGTATAGCCAGTTGCTTCCATCCACATTTAGGGTTGGGACTTGTAAGAGATGATCATCTTTTGCCATAGTGGGTATTGTTGCTGTGTAATAACTCTTTTGGAATTAGAGCATGAGGGTGGGGCTCATAACCTAATCAAGGTATGAGTTCTATGCTATGTCAGTACCAAGTAAACAAGTGGAAATATAGCTATGCTCACCTCAGTGCACAAAGTAGTCACTGAGGTGGAAAATAATGGTGCAGAAAATTTATAGTACCATAATTACTGAGTGGGTTGACATTGGAATTTAATTCCAAAGGTTGGGGAGAAATTCCAAGCCCTCTGCGCAAAACTCTGAGATGCTACCATAACTCCAGAATGCATACTTGACAGAGGATGCTGAACAGACAGCAAGTAACCTTTCCCTGAAGTCAAAGACATTTATGGTATGGCAATCTTCATTATTTGTAGGTCTGGTTCATACTAACTGATAATGGACTTGATGTCAGAGAGCTTCAAGAAGTTCATGGGACTGCAAAAACTTGATGGGTAAAACTTAACAGGCTATCCTATGGGAATTGGGGAAGCCACAGGTACTTGACCAAGGGGTCAGTCCACAGGGAAGAGTTTGCTGTGCTCTGACTGGAGAGCTGGAATGCAGGACAAGTCAGTGAATGTGGATGGTCTTGAGAAGGTCATAAAGCACATGCAAGCAACCACTGAGCAGGTCCTAGGCATGAAGGTGGTTGTGGATAAAATTGGCCCTGTACAGCTGGAAAAGGCAGTACATTCAAACTATATGCAAATGGCAGGTGAATATTGCAAGGCCAAGAAGAAGTGAAAGTGTACTGAAGAAGATGATGACTTTGGAGACAGTGAGGTTGAGGTGGTTGAAACAGTTCTTGGTCATGCACAAATGGAGTCCCATGTTCAGTCTGTGAGTTATGAATAATTTCTGAGATACAGATGAAATGAACTTACACATCAAAAAGAAATTAGATGCATGAAAATGAAAGCAGGAATCACAGGAATGCAATTCAAAGTGGAAAGACAGTAAATATGATACTGCATTCATTTTGAATGTGATGTCAGATGATGATGACCCAAATCATGTACCTGGAGAGTCACTTGCATACATGGCAATGGAACCAGAGTGGTGACATCCTAAGGTAAGTGCCAGCACTGGCAGGTTCTTCTTCAGGCATCACTCCCAGCATGTTTGCAGGTCTCCAAACTGTTCTCAGCCATTGATGCTCTGAAGGATTCTCGACCTGATCAAGCCAAGTTGGTAGGAACATGAATATGTTCAGCAGAAATGAAAGCTGGAGCCCCACCTTTGGCAAAGTCCTTAGCCACACAAGTCTGAACTTGGATGGTAAAGCCAGAACCTCTTCAACAGAACTCAGCATGGATCACAGCTGGGAGAGTTGCAACCAGTGGGGCTGTATGGGGAGAAGACAAACCAAAAGAACTATCAAGAGATAGGAAAGGGAAAGGTAAGGTGGCAGATACTGGTCTTTCAAGGAAAAGGGTGGTTATTCAGAAGAAAAAGGTTGGAGATAATGAGTTTGAGTTGAAAATTGCAGTGGAGGCTGCACAGAAGAAAATTGATGAGCTCATCAATGGACAAGGGGGAGTCAATGGCCTCTTCAAGTAGAAAACATCATTTCCTGCAATTCAAATGGTGTCAAGTTCTGAGTTGAGTCATACCTCATCACAATCAAATCCAGTCTGTAGAAAGTGATGTAAAAGTCAAAACATAAATGGGAAAAGTACTCATGCAATCACAGGAAGTGTCAGCCCACAGCGGTTTTGTTTGCTTAGCAAGATGCAGTGCAATTGGAATGATGACAACTGCAGGAAAGTGATGATGAGGGAGTGATTTCGATTTCTCTATACTCATTTGCATATGCAACTGTTACATTGAGTTCAGTGCACTAACTGTGTGCCTGATCAGTCGTAACATGGAATTCTGAGGAAATGATCACTTACAAATGATCCCAAGGCATTACAAGTATTTCCTCATCACAGACCATTGATTGTATAGCTGAACAGTAGAAGGGTGCTTCTTGGCATGGGATATGTACTTTGAAGTGATAGACCAACTTGCGTGGAATGCAGGTATGATCAATTACCACACCTGTGAACTGATCATAGGTGGTTGTGCTGCAGTGGCTGAGCCAATTCTGATGCCATCCTTTATGACAAAGGGGAGAACTTTAACAGAGCAATTAGTAAATATCACCATTCCTGATGTATCAGCTGTCATGTTGTCACAAACTCAGAGCTCAGAGAAGTGCAGCTGTAGGAAAGAAATGATCAATCCATAAACTTCTGGATGCTGAAGACATTGTAAGTCATAAAATCCTTTTGAGCTGCATCATGGTGGGAGAACAGTTGATTCTGTTGGCACATCAGTTATGAGAAGCTGGAAAAGATGATGAGTTGAGCAACACACCTGCCACAAAAACCAGCAATTTGATTGCACCATGTCCCTCTATCAATCCCTTCTGGGTGATGACTCACTCAACCACCCTGCACTCCTGAGCTGAAGCTTCCTCAGGTAGGGAGATAGCCTGCATAATATAAGTCAGTGTTTTCCAATACAGGTATATCAGACTTTCTAGCTCATATAAACTATGTTTCTCAATCCAATTGTGAGCAAGTGAACACTCCATCTCTCTGCCACCATGCCCATTGAGGTTTACATCCTCCAAGACACCATTGAAGCATTCAAATCCAAAGAGCCAGGTTGCATAAGCAGGGCCATAATGCTTAAAGACAACTGAGTAGTGCATTGCAAGATGGCTATTGATTGTTTGGTGGACACTGAGGGACTGAAGACCTTGACAGTAAAGCTGGAGGTAGGCTTGCCCTCACTCAATATCAGCCACCAACATTGACTTGTTTGCAAGGATACATTCAGAGACTGCCAGGTAAAGATACAACTTGTAGATTGCTTGTACATTACACTGAAATGTAAGTTGGTTCTTGCTGTTGCTTGGAATTCAGGGAGCCAATGATCTGATGTTGCCTGTGGGATCATGCCAACAAACCCACAGGACAAATGGGAGTATGTTTGAGAGGCAACACCATTGATCAGCTTTTGGAAGGGCATGATCATTGTCTAGCTAGAATAATATGTGAAAGTGATGTGCTTCTGAAAATAATATACTTGCATTTTGTGGGAGATGACTAACAATCAATGGCCAGATGATTGACCTAATAGTCACCTCATATAATTCCAATCCCACACTGTCAAGCAGGTATCCTACAGTGATTTCATCATAGATAAACTGTTTGATGAGTGCTATTGATGGCTGTCAGTATCAACACAACAGGAGTTGAAAATGAGGCAATCCATTCCATAAAAATTGTGCATGAAGTCAATTGGTGACTGACAGGTGGGAAGCCAGCCTGGGAGCTCATTGAGCACAGAAAATTGCACCCCATGAGCATCTAGAATCGCTTTCTTTGCAGTCTTAGTCTTGGCAACTTTTGCTCTGGCTGCATGCTTCAGTTGCTTGCAGTCATCATGCATATGAAAATCTATTACAAAATTTGGTAAGCCCATTCATGGAACATCCAATGAGTGGGCCTGTCACATACAGTGGCTCAAAAAACTGACTGCATGTTTGGACATTTTTCACTAAAGTCAATACTGCCCCATATCCCCTAACTTAGGCCCTAACCTATAAGTGTATGAAACAAAGCCCTTAAACTTGGCTCTCTATTGGTGCAGGGGCCAAGGGCTTTGGATAAGGTTTGATCAAATGGCAGCCATTTCAAAATGATGACTCATGCAGTCAGTTTTTTGACTTTAGGTTTCAATTACATATATTAGACCTTGGCATACTGTAATATTAGTACATATATCTGGTAATTGTTCTATTATGTCACCTTTATGTAACTGAGTGTCAGACATTATCAATAAACCCCACCATCACCATGAAACCCATCTCTGCTTCTCAAAGAAAGAGCAACATATCTCTCTCCATTCTTGATCTTTCCTCCAGGAAAATTGCTTCCAAAACTGGCTTAGGGTAGTCTACAGTATGCCAGGTCCTTCAGAAACTACAGCCAGAGAAGACTAGGCTTTGTGGTGGCCATCCATTAAAGCTTACCCCTACCAACAAAAGGGCTATTGTTCAGCAAATCATTATTGGCAAGCCCAAAAATGCTGTCCATGCCATTCAATTCATCAATTCTATTATTGATACTCCTGTCTACCACAGACTGTGCGAAATACCCTCAAGGAATCCTCTGTGAAGGCTGTGGTCAAGAAAAAGAAGCCCTTGCTTTCTAATGTACACAAGAAGAGAAGGCTAACCTTTGCTCTCAAGTACCAGAATTGGAATGTGGAGGACAGGAAGAGAGTTATATGGTCAGATGAGACCTAAATACATAGGACTTGGTCAGATGGGCAAGAGTATGTGTGGAAAAAGAAGGGTGAAGGGCTAATTGCTAGAGAGGTCAAGGGTACAGTTAAGTGTGGAAGTGGTTCACTGATGGTATGAGGCTGCAGAAGGTGGAATGAAGCAGGAGTTTTGAGTGAGGTGGAAGATGGATGGATGCTAAACAGTATGTGGCCATTTTGGAGTAGGGGCTGCTGCAAATCTTGGAAGATTCTGGAATTCCAGAAGGTGACATTATCTTTCAACAAGATAATGGCCCCAAGCACACCTCTAGGAGAGCCAAAAGGTGGTTGGAAGAACAGGAAATCAACCTTCTGGACTGGCCTGCACAATATCCAGACCTTAATCCCATTGAACATACTTGGAATCACCTCAAGAGATGCCCCTCAGGTTATGGGAGTGCTCCTACAGGCATTCACTGACTGTGGGAAAGAGTGGTGGAGGAGTGGGGGAAGATTGATGAGGAGCAGTGTCAAAAATGAATAGAAAGCATGCCTAGAAGGATTGAAGCAGTTACATATTAGGGCCAAAGGAGTTCATACAAAGTACTAGATACATAAATTGATATAAAGTCAACAAACTGACCACATGAGTCATCATTTTGAAACAGCTGCCATTTGATCAAACCTTATCCAAAGCCCTTGGCCCCTGCACCAATAGAGAGCCAAGTGTAAGGGCTTTGTTTCATACACTTATAGGTTAGGGCCTAAGTTAGGGGGTATGGGGCAGTATTGACTTTAGTGAAAAATGTCCAAACATGCAGTCAGTTTTTTGAGCCACTGTATATGGCAGATGCTGTGGCAACATATGGATGGGTCTGTCCAAGGCATGTTGAATGGGTTGCAATGGATGGGTGGACCCATCATATGCATGACACCTGTTGTTACAACCAATGGTTGGGCCCATAGAAGGGATGTTGCATCCATCACAACTTATGAGCAGGCCCATCATATGGATGGCAGGTGTTATCATAACCAATGGCCAGGGCCATAGAAGGGATGGTGCATCCACCACAACCTATGAGGAGGCCTGTCGCATATATGGCAGATGCTGTGGCAACCCATGGACAGGCCCATCAAAGGCATATTGAACAGGTCGCAACTGATCAGCATGCCAATCATATGAATGGTAAATGTTATCATAACAAATGGTTGGGCCTGTAGAAGGGATGTTGCATCCATCACAACTTGTGACTGGGCCCATCACATATATGGCAGATGCTGTGATGACCCATGGATGGGCCCATCCAAGGCATATTGAACAGATTGCAACTGATGGGCAGGCCCATCCAATAGATGGTGGGTGTTGTCATAACCAATGGCTGGGCCTGTAGAAGGGATGTCACATCCATCACAACTTATGAGTGGGCCCATCACATATATGGTGGATACTGCAGTAACATATGGATGGGTCCATCCAAGGCATATTGAACAGGTCACAACTGATGGGCAGGCCATGGTCATAACCAATGGTTAGGCCCATAGAAGGGATGTCACATCCATCACAACTTGTGAGTGGGCACATCACATACATATATTGTGGATGCTGGGACAACCCATGGTCAGGCCCATATGAACAAGTCAGAATTGATTTGCAGGCCCATTGAAGATATGGCAAATGTTGTCCTAATCAATGGATGGACCCATGGAAGGGAGATTTCAGGAATCACAACATATGGGCAGGCCATACATTGATGTGGTGATTGCAGCAGAAACCAATGAGGACCCTCATCCAGGGAATGTGACTCCAATTGAAACAAATATGTATGCCTGTAGTTAATATTGTAGATGTTGTCAAACTGCATCAGTGGGTCTGTCAAGCCAATGACAGATGAAGATGGCAACAGCAAGATGGGGCATTGTTGAGAATGATCTGCATAGTTGCAATGGATGCCAGCCCATCAGAAATGCTGCAAACATTGTTGGTTGTAAAGATGGTGTTGCATTGCAGATACATGCATGGTACTGGAGAATAGCAACAGTTCAATATCAGCTGGCTGTTGATAGATTGGGTTTCCTATCTGATGCTTGAGCATACATCAGATCCCAGTCAGTGCTGTAATTCAAATACCAATTCTGCATATTAACTATCTGTACCAATGATCTCAGAATTTCAGTCCAACTATCTGCCCCTTGTCCAGCATAACATGACCCCATTACAATATGCCAAGGACCTTCTGGGTAATTGGAAGATGGATCTGACAGACACTGTCTCTGCATACATGATGTCCAGGTTGTGTGAAGAGATCTTGGGCAGCCCATGTGCCCTCCCACATGTATTGATTCTGTTGCAGATAGCTTGTGAAGTGGACCACATGTCACCAGTCATAGTCCAAGCATATTGTGAATGCAGTAAGTGAATCTATCCAGGAAATTGGAAAGGTTAAGACTGCCACAGTTGTGGTTGAAGACATGCAGGATGCAAAGGCCAATGCAGACCTTTTGACTTACATAGAAATCATGCATCTGGCAGCAGTGATTGACAAAGAGGGAAACATCCTTCTGTGGTATCCCCCAAATGCCTTCAGTCAAGCATATCAGGTTGGAAAATTGAATGTTGCATCCTGTGCCATGCTAATGTTCCAGTCAGGCCAAGATTTGGAACTCCTTAGCAACACTCCATATCCTGAGGTCCAATGGGCCAGCCAGATGGTGGCATGATTCAACCTATTTTTGTCAAGCTGCAGAGTCTGCCCAGATCCAGTGATGTGGGGGGATGAAGTTTGCAGGATCCCAGTACATTCTTGTTCCTTGGAAGGCAAATGTGTCATGCATGCAACCAGGTTGCCCCAGTGCATAATCTACTATGCTGAGGTTATGTGTCATGATTACAGCCTTCACTTTCAGGTGAGTGTTCATTCCCAATCTGACAATTTAGTGAAAAACATAATTTCTGATCATAAAACACATCTCCAAACATTCCTGGCTGTGCATGAAGTTTACTGAAGTCCCATCAGCCATGAACACCCCATTTCTCCATGCATGGCAAGTCTGTGACTCCATGAATGTCCATGCTTGATGCATTGCCTCCAAGTGGACATGGAGGATGTAGATGAATTTATCATGCTGATCAAGAATTGCAGCCATGATGTGATGTGTACAGTTCACCACTGTCCCAACACTGACACAAGCCCATTGCCCAATATCTTCAGGGGAGCATGCATTGCCATAATGACCCACACAAAAGAGGAAGATTGCAAGTTGGATAGACACTGGTAGCTGCTTGTTATTCAATTGGTTGTGGAAGACAGGGTGATGACTGATTTGATCAAGATATCATTGAATATCTCTTGGTTAATGTGCAAATTTTTACAAAAGAGGTCTGGGTGATTTTCTGCAAAATGTTCCAGAAGGTGCAGCTGAGGTGCTCTTGGCATTGGTTCCACTGGGCATGCAAGTACCCTGGCAGCCTCAACCCTGTCATATAGGGCTTGGATCACACTCAGCAAGTTCATATAATGTGTGGTAGTCATTTCTGTCATGGAAACAGAGCTGGTACATCAGGAAAAGGGGACTTTGCTGTAGGTTTTTTTTTTTTTGCTTTTTATTGTCTTTCAGCACTTTTTGTCATGCTTTGTCACTTTATGACTGAAAAATGGCAAAAAAGGGCCAAAAGAAGCAAAAAAAACCACCTATAGCAAAGTCCCCTTTTCCTGAGTAGATGCTGATTCTGAGTCAACTGACATGGATCCCATGCTGAAAGGATTGGTGATTCCAGGGAGACAGGGGAAATGATCATCAGGCTCAGTGGGCTAGGGGAAGAGTTAGATGATGTATCTGTCCAACTGGTGAGCTCTGAATCCATCTCATCAAGTAGTTGTGCTCTAATCTCTTCATTTTGCATCTGGGTAGCAGTGTCAAGTATAGGTTTACCCTCAGGTGACTGGGCTTCAAGTCCAGGTGATGGGGGCTAAGTCCAGTTGACCAGAGTCAAGGCCAGAAGTCAGGGGCCAAGTCCAGAGGTTTGGAGTCAAGGCTGGGAGCACAGGAATAAGACTGGGACCATGGGAAACCAACCAGTGTCACACACCAAAGGTGTTTGGTGACTTGGACATGGATAATGCTGATGAATGGAGATGCAAGACTAGAGCCCTAATGTGAAGAAAGACAGCCAGGAATGTTGGCAGTCATCCTTCAAACAAGAATGAGTCATCAGTGCC